GTGCCTCCTGCTTGGCAAAAAGGTATTGTTATTTGTTTTCACTTACTTGTGTTATGAAAAATATTTCTCCATTGCACAGTCGAATATTACTTTCAAAGTCATGCTTATTTTTAGAGAGATTGCGAGGGGCACCACCAAAGTCTTTGTCACCAGCGTCCAGATCACTGCTCTGCTCACTGTCGGAGGTGTCTCCAGGCAGCAACTCTGAGAGGTATGCATTTTTGGTACAACAGATTTTATCACCAGTTCCAAATATAAGTCTTTTCTGATGGTCTCTGGGTTAGAAAATACATAATCAAAGTTTAGGAATCTTCAATTTCCTTTGTTAAATGTTAACTCTGAAACCTGATCCAATTATCAAAATAATTCCTACACTTCCTGTGCATTACCTGCATTGTCAGCAAGAAATTATCTGATTATTTACACACACACTCAAGCTCAGCTACATTCCCAGCCAAATGCTTCCAAGTTACAAGTTTTGGCATAAATGTTAATGTCTCTTCTTCCTTCTATATTCTGATCAAAAATCTAACCGAGTCTTCCCTTGAAATTCACCCTTCCCCTCCAGTTTCTCCCGTCACTGCCGACTCCGGGTCTGACAGCACTTATGCAGTCTGCCGTTGAAATGACCAGGACACTTATGAGAACAGCAGCAAATGGGCCAAACGGTGGGGACCCGCCAGTCACTGCGCTGGAGCGTCATTATTTCATCTCATTCTCACAACTCCACCAGGGAAATTCTGTGTCAGAGCCTCTTTCATGCATGTGGGAACCAATACGTGTATTAATTTAAACCAATTCAGAATTTCTGTACATTCACCAGGGGAAAGTCAGCATTACTCCCATGCTAGCCAGTTACATGCACGTGAGAGTTATCAAAACTCCGAGTGTGGGGTCACTATGGAAATTCTGAGACAGACTGAGTCATGGTCCATTATTTCAATTCCATAAACACTAAACCACGGCCTTTCTGAGTCACCTGTGCAAGTTTTCAACCTGCTCCGTTGACCCATGTTGCTGAGAGGGCTTCATTTGCTTCCATCTGCATGGAATTTATGTACCTCAAAACTTTCAAAATGACCAACACGTGGCCTCATGTCTATGCCTCCTGGCCGTTTGTTAACTTTCCTATCACAGATTTTTGGGTCTCTTCCCTCAGCAGACCAGAACTCTACCTTGTACATCTCTAAGATCTCAATACTCAGCAAAAAGCAGGTATTTTTATTATTATTATTAAATCATAGCTGTGTACATTAATGCAGTCATGGGGTACCGTGTGCTGGTTCTATAAAAGCAGGTATTGTTAAATTCAAAAGAACTGAATTAATTTCCTGTCTGCGGACAGAGTGGCGGTCCTACCCCCACAACACTGACACACACCAAGGTGCTTCCTGCAGACACCCCACTGCTACACACTTTATACTTTTATATTCTCCCTAAACCCCCACACTCGCTGTGGGCTGCCAACCTAGGAACTATGAGGAAAATTCCATTCCTTATTTTTCTTCATATCACACTCGCTACCAGAGATGATTCCTAAGGATTCACACAAGGCATCCACAAAGATCATGAGTAATCTGGCTGTTTGAAATTGCACACAGACTATATGGACACTCTGTATTTAATTGAAGAGAATATAATTTCACAGATGAGGAAAAAAAGAGCTTTAAAGACGTGGCTACAGGGGTTAAAAGTCACAAAGAGAGGAACAGTGAATCCCGGGAGGCCGCCAGCCGCCTGGGGACGCACCTGGTGAGGTGACCCGTGTAGTGCCGGCAGCAGCAGTCGTTAACCAGGTCGCAGTCCTGCCTGAACACACAGAGAGACACCGTCACGGCCGGTAAGCACTCGTTTACCTCTTCAGCATTCTTTCTTTTTTTTTTTATTAAATCATAGCTGGGTACATTAATGCAATTATGGGGTGTGATGTGCTGGTTTTATATATAATGTGAAATACTTTTATCAAACTGGTTAACATAGCCTTCACCTCATTTTCTTAGTTTTTCTGTTAAGACATTCATATTCCTCACTTAGTAGATTTAACATGTACCCTTATAAAACGCACCACAGGTGTGGTCCCGCCAACTGCCCTCTCTCCACCCCTCTTCAGCATTCTCTACAAATTTTCCAGAACTTTCGTCAGGAGAAAGTATTTTTGTAATTTTTATCCTAACATAAACTTTTGTTCCATTCAGGTTTCCTATGAGTTTCTAAATATAATATTTGGTAGAAAACCCTAGTTAGCAAACAGCCCTCTGCCATGTCTAACCAAAAAATCCTCAAAGAAGAAAATAATATCCCAAAATAAGAAAGTGATAAAATGTGAGTCTCCCATCCAAACAGAACCCAAACCTTAATAAATTATGAGATTAAAAGCTACATTAAAAAGTTAGAATTTCATAAATGCTTTACCTTCTAAATGCAATAAATTGTGATGTTTTTGCATCTTTTAAGTCATTTTCTTGCAGTAAAGTTTTAACTGCAGAATATAAATCTGAGAATTAAAGAAAAAAAAGTTAACACTGAAAATCATTAAATGGTAAAACTTTCTATGGAGAAACCAATTCAGAATTTCTGTACATTCACCAGGGGAAAGTCAGTATTACTCCTACACCAGCCAGAGCAGGAGAAAGGGCACAGACAGGAAGGTCCAGACGTCCCTCGGGGGCTCAGAGGGCTCCTCACTGTGGCCCTTGCTGTGCGCGCCCAGCTGGTTTGTGAGTGCTGAATTCAAGAGCACAAAATGTGCAACAGAATTACTCACATAAAACCTGCTGCTGTGAGGCCCTATGTGAACGGCAGTGGTGGCCACAACTAGAGAATCTCTATGTTTTATCTCTCTCTCTCAGTATTCACAACACCTGTGTGAGATAGGCACTATTATCACACTTTGAGTGCTGGGAGTTAGCGGGTGTGTGGTTAAAACACTGCAATGCGGCCTCGTCAGGGGAAATCGGCCACTCCCTGACACCCCCCTGGTCCCTGCCCCAACCACCTGTTCCATGTCCACAGTGGCGGCAGGCTGCCCAGCACAGCTGGAGACATCTACTCCAGTGGTGCTCACACCCCACAGCTGACAGCAGCCTGACCTCCAACATCTACACCACGAGTGTGAAAACTCAGGCTCCGTTCCCAGTGGGGCTGGTAGCTGGCTCCCTTCTTCAGACCCAGATGCACACTGCAGAGCTGAGACACAGCGTGCTCTGGTCTCTCTCTACCACAGTGTAAAAAGGCAAATGTCCATCGAGAGAAAGAGGGAGAGACTTCAAAATCAGGGTCTGTGTGCTTCCTTAGCAGCAGGGGGGTCGCTGGGAGCAAAGGCAAAGGCCTAGGCCTTGTGCGCCCTGCTCTGAGAAGGCCAGATCAGCGTCTGCTGACCCCTTCCTTTTCAGATGAAGGGTGAATTACTGGAAAATAGCCAAGACTCAGCTCACCCTCAGTCAAGCCCTGACCTGCTGCAGCGAGGAGCTCAGGGTGTCGCTGTTCTGTCCGCTTTCTTCACCTTTTCTGTGTCCTACAGCTCAACTGACACACTGCTGAGTTCTGATCCTGAGATACACACGTCTCCTACATTTTAACATCTCCGAAGCTCTAGTCCAGATAGGAATCCTGCCTTAGGCTTTTGTACTTTGAGACAGGTATGATTTACTCCACAACTTAATCTTTAACAAAAAACCAGTACACGTTTCTCTAAGGAATACTCACTCAATTTTCTTAAGGAAGAAAATAATGTCCTAGCAGAAGTTTTTAATTAAGATAGAAAAACATCAAGGAAGTTCTGCAGCCACTCTGAATTGGATGTGTTTCTCTAAGTACCTTCTCATCAATAAAAAGAACAGGTGCCAGAAATTAAACCAACACATCAGGTTGATCTGGGTGGGGTGAAAAAGCGTCCAAGCACCACCATCCTCTGCTGCTATCACACCTGTGACTGACCACGCTGCTGCAAAACTAACCCACCTGTAAATGTCTGCTGTGCACTTCCAAATCCTGAAACAACATGCAGCCTGTGATCCAATTTACATCAAATTGAAATGAGTAACACGGGTCACACACATGCACCCACACACGGCTCACAGGATAAGCCTGCGCCACGGTGTAACCTGGTGCGTTGTCTTAAGAGGAAAGGAGAGAGGAAGACTCTGGGAAACATAAATTTTACTTCAAACACTTCTGTATCATTTGACATTTTTAAGGAATATTAATTATTCCTACCATCAATAAACCCAAAAAGGCATGTCATAGAACGCCATGTATTACACAACCCCACTTATTACAAAAAAGAACCGTGTAACATGGGACCAGTCACTAACACAGAGCAAGTGAGACAGTGACACAGGAGAGAGGTGTGCAGAGAACACGGACGCCACTCAGTCTCACACACGCCGTGAAACAAAGAAAGTGAGAGAGGGGCGGCACCTGTGGCTCAAAGGAGCAGGGTGCTGGCCCCATATACCAGAGGTGGTGGGTTCAAACCCAACCCCGGCCAAAAACTGCAAAAAAAAAAAGAAAGTGAGAGAGAGAGAAGCCTTTAAAGGTACACGCTGTACTGTGTGCCTGCAACCATCTAAATCTCTGCTTATTGCTGAGTACATCGCTGTCCTCTCAAGTTTGCAAAGTCAGTTTAAAGGTCAGAAGAGGCTTTATCTATTTAAATTTAACTGCAATAGCTAATTTAATAACATTAACAAAAACTGACACCTCTGTCTCAGCACCTGTAGCTCAGTGGGTAGGGCGCCGGCCACATAAACCCTAGCTGGTGGGTTCAAACCTGGCCTAGGCCTGCTGAAACAACAATGAAAATTGCAACAACAACAACAAAAATAGCCGGGCGTTGTGGTGGGCACCTATAGTCCCAGCTACTTGGGAGACTGAGGCAAGAGAATCACTTAAGCCCAAGAGTTGGAGGTTGCTGTAAGCTGTGACGTCATGGCACTCTACCGAGGGTAACACAGTAAGACTATGTCTCAAAAAAGAAACAAAAAACTGATGAGCAGTGCCTGTGGCTCACTGAGTAGGGTGCCGGCCCCACATACCTAGGGAGGAGGGTTTAAACCCAGCCCTGGCCAAACTGCAACAAAAAAATAGCCGGGTGTTGCAGCAGGTACCTGCAGTCCCAGCTACTTGGGAGGCTGAGGCAAGAGAATCACCTAAGCCCAAGAGCTGAAGGTTGCTGTGAGCTGTGATGCCACAGTGCTCTACCAAGGGTGACAAAGGGAGACTCTGTCTCTAAAAAAAACCACTGACACCTCTGTAGCGGCTCATGACTGATGAGCGTCTCCATCCGAGACCCCACCAGCCTCCTGGGCAGCACTGCTGACCCCGCCTGACAGACAGAGGAGTGGACCTCCTGTCCCACATTCCTTCTCAACCCTGTCACACTGTCACCCTCACACCCATAACTAGAAGTGACATTTGTCCATTGTATAAAACAGAACTGTTAGGAACTCAACTTGGCAATTACTGGAGCTTTGCTTTATTTTTAATGAAATCACCTATTTTTTCATTCAACAAATACTTACTGAGCACTTACTATGTGTCAAAAGCTCACAAAATTCTAGGGTATTCAGCTTTTGATCATTAATAAGCTAATTTATTTTCAGTACCTCATTGTTTTAGCTAGTGATATCTTTACCATCAAAAAAAAGTATAACTAAATCATTTAACAACCACCCGAGGGACTGTAACTAGCTGGTCTACACAGGGAGGTGGTCACCACAAGGAACCAGGCCTGCTGTACTGACACAGTCTGTGAGCCTCAGGGCAACGTGAGGAGTGGGCAGGGCAGGGAGGTGGTCAGCTATGGAGGTTCTCCTGTATATTACAAAACCGAAACATTTATACTTAACCCTTCATATCCTGGAATTTAATACTTACAAGAGCGATGATTACTTTTAGATGACTGAGAACTGGCATCCTCTTCTGGTAGTCTAACAAAAATAAATGTCTTATCTTGAATTGAGATAGGGAATGTTGGGTTATCAGAGATATTTAGTTCTGCATCAAATTCTGGAAATTGGCGTCCTGAGATTCTTAAATAAAAATAAAACACATAGACATTAGCATCCAAAAATGTGTTCATACATGACCAGAGCTTACATCCTTATGATACTATCTCTTAACAGATAATAATGAAGATGGAGAAAAGGCCTCCCAGCTCTGCGTTACGACCAGTGAGCGAGTGTGACAGTGGAAGACCATGCAGCCACCGCACTACACTGCAGGGTCCCCACCCCAGCACAATAAAAGTATCGGAACCATCAGGGGACCTGCTGAGCACCACTCTAAGAACCTGACCTACTTATCTCCAGACCACAGAGGAGCCACACATGGGAAGCATCAGCCCCATGTCCCAGGTGAGCAAAGTGAGGCTTAGCCAAGCCCAGTGGGGCATCCAGGACCAGAGACAGAGCACAGGGACGTGGAGAGCACACCTGGGCCCATGTGGCTCCACCTCCCTTTCTGTTAGAATTAATCTGGTCTCCCGGGACCTCTTCTGCCCACTCATACCACGCTCTGCCCTCCCTCCTGTGTCCGCTGTACATATGCTCCTATGTTCCCTGCTGGACCAAGTGTCCACTCCTATCTGCTGCTATGCCCTCCTCATCTTTCTTTTACTCTTGTATTTTCCAAGACAAGCAAGCCACATCAGAAATCGGAGTTGGGCGTGGGTAGCCTGGCCATAACAGGACCTCTCCTTGGCTACATGGAAAAGGCCATCCATGTGGACCCAGCAGCAGCCTGGTTGTGAGAGGGAAACCCCGCCATTGTCCCCTCACCTTTCCTCAAACCTGAGTTGAAAGGGAGGGAAGAGGCAATCAGACTGCCCTCGCAGACTTAATCCAGTCTAAGAAGCATCCCACATCTCCTGTTTTGTCCTGGACCCAGGACAGACGGCATCCTCTGTCTCAGCTTTTCCTCAGTACATCACCGGGGTCCACAGCCCATACACACTCAGGGAGGAAGACGCAGACGATGAAACGATGAAAGGGGCACAGCTCAACCCAAGTGATACCAAGTGACTTTAAGAAATGCCTGAGTTGGCTCGGCGCCTATAGCTCAACC